AGCAGATGACCAGCTCGCAGAAGGCCCTGATGCTCGAGCTGAAGTCCCTGCAGGAGGAGCCGGTGGAGGGCTTCCGGATCACCCTGGTGGACGAGTCCGACCTCTACAACTGGGAGGTGGCCATCTTCGGACCCCCGAACACCCTCTACGAAGGCGGCTACTTCAAGGTACCCCCACCCCCTCCCGGCCCAGGCTTCCGCCGAGGCCCCACTGCCCCCGCTCTCGGCAGTTTTCGGGCCGAGGGGGAGCGCGAGTGGGGGGGCTCGCCTCGGCAGGCCCCTCACCCGTCCGCGGAGGCAGGAAGGCCTGGCTCACCGGGGCCTTTTCTTTGTCAGGGGGGCGGGGGCGGGAGGCCAGACGGCCCCGGGAACGAGGAAAGCCTCTGGGGCGAGGGCAGCGGCTCCCAGAGGAGGAGGAGGAGGAGGAGGAGGGCTGTCTTTGTTTGTTTCCCCCGCTGGGGGTGTGCGGGGAGAGGTGGTCGGTCTGTCCTCTCGCGTCCCCCACGAGAACCATCCCTGCGCCGGCTGGAACTGCCCCAGAGGGCAGAGTGACCTGCACTTACTGGATTGGGTCTTTCTTTTTTGGGGGGGTGGGGGTGGGGGAGGGGTACTGGGCTGTCATTCCAGAGGCCGCCTAGTGACCTGACATTTTGAGGGTTTGATGGGCTTCTGGCGTGGTGGCGGTTCCAAGTTTGCATTCCAGTGGGCGGCAAGGAAGACTAGGACCCTGGGGCTGGCAAACAAGGGGGCCTGCGTTTTCCTGCCCTGATCCACTGGAGGGACCGTCATTTGATTTAGCCCTCCTTCTGTCCCCGTTCTCTGTTTACTTCAGTGGTGTTTCAAAATGCCCTTTGTCCTCACCCTGCCACCAACTTTACTGCCTTTTTTTTTTTTTTTTTTCTGTACGTGTAGAAATATCCACAGAGGGTGGAACATGGTATGTAGGGAGATTGGTAGTTTCCCACTTTAGGGAGATAAAATTGAAACCTTTTGCTCAGGTGGTTAACTCGAGCAGATGGGGTGGTCTCACAGATGGAAAGTATCATCGGCGGTGAGGCGGTTTCACTGAGTAGGACGGCTCCTAAGCGACCATAGACATTGTTTCTATTGTTTTTCATAATTTTACAACAGTGGTTATTACCATTCCTGAATCCAGTGACTTTTTTGTTGTTGTTGTTCCAAGGTAGATAACTTGGAGACATTGAGGATTTTGTTTTTGTTTTTATTTTACCGTTTTTGAAGGGACGAATCACAGATTGAAGGTTGAATGTTTTAAATGGTAGTGGTGGGGGCAGAGACTTAGGAAACGGGTGCTTAAGAATCCATTTAATTTAATTTTTTTATTTCCAAAATTAAGCGAAGTAGAGCAGTGAGTCAGTCTTAGTTTGTTTTGAAGGGAGGGGCTATCTCGGCAAAAGTTTTAAATGAATATCTTAGTCATGTAGTTATGATGTGTATTTTTAGGACTACCCAATTACTTTGGTTTTCCACCCTCCTAAAGGTAGAAGCCTCAGTTTCAGGCTTGAAATTGGGTCAGCTTTGTGGAAAATGTGAAGAATTGATAGGGGAATGTTTAATATTCACGCCTGAGATAGTCACTGAATACCTAGTAAAAGCATATTTTTAGAATATTGTGTAAGAGTATGCTTACACTGTATGCTTCATCTTTTGTGGTGTCCATACACTGTACTTTTCAGATGCAGGTGTTTAAAGTCACTAAGGAAGCGTACAAGTTATTAGTGACAAATTGGAGAAGGTATTCCTGTGTCCATGTTGAGGAACGTTTTCTTGTGAAGTATAAATTTTCATTTATAGATACTGGAAAAATTAGTTGCACAAAATGGAATTTATGTAATAACTTTTCTAGCAAAGCATTATTTAGCATAATATACTGGGTAACTTGAGTGAAATCAAGTTTAATTTCCAAAAAGTATTGTTTGGGACAATTGATAGTCAAGGTAAACGGGTACCAGTTAGAATAATCTCACGCCAATGCATTTTGTTAAAAACAAAACAAAACAAAAACTGTATGTAAAAGGAAATAATACGTTGCAAATTGTAATATTTTTGCTTAAATAACTGGGAAAGGAGTGTGGCGAACCCTCAGTTTGGAATAGGTAGTATGGAAGGAAGATTCCCTGTAGCATACATGATTTAAATTAAATGGTTTTTAATTTCAGTCCTATTTAAAAAGAATAATCTCCAGTTTTGTTGTATGTGTTAGATTTCTTAATCTTTGAGTGTTTTTACCTTTGTGACTTGTAAAAAAAAATGTGTGAAAATTCTTAAACAGGTTTTATGTTTTAGTCTTGTGAGAAAATTTTGTTCAATTTCACTTTCTCCTACTTTTTTCCTTATTGTATGGCCTTTATCCCAAAGGTCCTTCACTGGAAAAAGGCAAATATATAGTCATGAGCAGTTAACACTGGTGATAGGTTTAAAACCATTGTTTTTTATTTCACTGCTTTTGTTTTAAAACAAGGCTTTTAGTGTGTTCCACTACAGCTGCAGTTAAAAGTTGGCACAGACCTTTCTCTACCACTGTTTATTCTCTCTTATCAAATGATAGTCCTCGCACATTTAGTGTAATTTATTTTCAAGTTAAACTCTTCTCTATTTTGCGTAATAGTTTCTGAAGGCAGCGGGACTGCCAGTCATTCTTTAAATTTTTTTTATTGTAACTCCTTTAACTTTTACGTATTAATAGACTTCTAACTGATCTTTTTCACCATGAAATAGTTGGCTCCAGTCTGTTTTATCTATAGCATCTGTTGTGGTAGAGACTTGTGCGACCTGTATTTCACAATTTTTTTTTTTTTTTTTTTGAGAACGATCAGCCCTGAGCTAACATCCATGCCAATCCTCCTCTTTTTGCTGAGGAAGACTAGCCCTGAGCTAACATCTATTGCCAGTCTTCCTCCTTTTTTTTTTTTCCCTTTTTCTCCCCAAAGCCCCGGTAGATAGTTGTATGTCATAGTTGCACATCCTTCTAGTTGCTGTATGTGGGACACGGCCTCAGCGTGGCCGCACAAGCAGTACATCGCTGTGCGCCCGGGATCCAAACCCCGGGCCTCCAGTAGTGGAGTGCGCGCACTTAACCGCTAAGCCACGGGGCCAGCCCCCACAAATGTTTTTTTTGATTCATCCTGCTTTTGTTTTTTAAATATCTCAAATCCATGTGATTCTTAGCGTTGGTGGGGGGGCAGTATGGATGTAGGATAGGCTAAGGTAGTTTCTTGAGTTTTTTTCTGCGTATTATAAACTTTTTTTTTGGCCTTGTTATCTTTTTGTCCAGTTTCTTGATCTTACTGACTTACCAACTGAATTTCTTTGTTACTTTGAATTTTTCCTCTAGGGGTCAATCATTACAAAATACAAAGTAGGAGAGGGCTTAGAACACCAAGAACACCTCTGAACTTAATTTGCTACTGTGGAGCAAGTTGGAATTTTATGTTACTGGAAGAATTGTTGATCAAGTCAGCAGTTAATGATGACTTTTTACAAGTTCACCCCCATTCCTTTAAAAAGAACTATCTTTTCAGATAACTCCTGATAATGATCATAACTTAGCGTGACTGCTTTGATATAGAACCTCCTTGGAACTCCTGCATTATTTATCTAAAAGCGTAATAGCAGTGAGTCTAGAGATCAGAAAGTGATCTCTTTCTGATGTGCCTAACATAAAAGTTTAAACAATACAGAAAGCTTAAAGGATCGCAGTTCACTTTTTGCAGTTTTGATTTTATTCAATAATCTGATTGAGGGAATGAAATATAGCTGTGTTTCATTTTTAGAAAACTCCAAACTGATAATTTAGAAAATATTTGTTATATACTCAAAGTTTTCCTTAATAGGAGCTTCTTTATCAGACTTAACACTTTGATTTGTATTAAAGAAACTCTTCAATAATAGTTGTTTTTTAAAATAAAGAGTATGCATTTTCATTTGTTCTAGAATAAATTAATCTTTTCTGCTGCCCCCCCGCCCCCGACAAAACAAAACAAAACAAAACAGCCCGCCAAACTTAACCTTTGTGCCTGGCAGTGTCCTTCAGATTATAGTGTACTCTATTTTATGACTCTGTAATTCTTAATATATAGTTGAAACAGTTCTTTTAAGAAACAGATTCTTAGTCTTTTTGGTATATGGATCCTTTGGAGAAATTGATTAATTTTCCCCGGGGGGGAAAAATAGGTACACATAAACTAGTTTGTATTCATTTTCAGAGGGTTAATTGCCATCTTAAGAATTCCTGTTTCTAGGCCGGCCCAGTGGCGCAAGCAGTTAAGTGTGCGTGCTCCGCTGCGGTTGCCCGGAGTTCCCCGGTTCAGATCCCAGGCACGCACCGATGCACTGCTTGGCAAGCCATGCTGTGGCAGCATCCCATATAAAGTGGAGGAAGATGGGCATGGATGTTAGCCCAGCGCCAGTCTTCCTCAGCAAAAAAAAAAAAAAAAAAAGGAGGATTGGCAGATGTTAGCACAGGGCTGATCTCCTCACAAAAAAAAAAAGAAATCCTGTTTTAGGGGATTAGGATAGGCAACTTAAAAACAAAATTAAACAATTTTAAAATTATAAAAGTAATGCTAATTTTTTTAAAGCAATTGTATGATGAGTCTTTCACTCAGTTAAAAATTTCTTATTTTCAATTTTTCTTCAGTCACTTTAAGAATACCTCTTAAGGCTTTTAGCTGTTACCTTTTCTGGAAGCTGAATTTGTCTTGAGTGCTTGGTGAACTAAAGTAACATTGTAAATGAAACATAGTTAATGTCTAGTGGTTTGGGGGACTAAATGCAATTTTAGAGTTTTGATTTTTTTCCATGGCAAATCATAGTACCTCAGTATTTTATAGAATATGCTTTTACTCTATTAGGTTGATTCCATAATGCATATTTTTCTAGTTTTTAACTTCTCTGAAATTGGGATGTGTCTTAGAATCTGTGAAGTCTTACAATTGCCATCAGCCAAGTGGCTCTTGTGACCTGGTTGTGCAAGGACCTTCCATTGAAGTCTTCTGATAAAAATTTTTTAAATGCTGGCATCGTTGTCTTAAATTTGATAAAATAAGGATTATTTCTTTTTGAATGAAGGATTTGGGTCCCTAATTAATACTTTCTTTTTTTTTATAATTTTATTTATTTATTTTTTCCCCCAAAGCCCCAGTAGA